GTGTCGGGGGTGATCAAAGCCCAAAATCTTCTCGCGCCCCTCGAGTGCGCGTCTGCTCATCGTCTCCGATTCTTCGTATCTCCCTTGGTCCAGTAGAATTGCTGCTAGGTGGTTGACAGCCCGTAATGTGTCGGGGTGATCGGGGCCTAAAATCTTCTCGTGCCCCTCTATCATTCGCCTGCTCATCACCTCCGATTCGTCATACTTCCCTTGGTTCTGTAGAACTGTGGCCAGGCTTCCGAGAGCTCGTAATGTGTCGGGGTGATCGGGGCCTAAAACCCTCTCGTACCTCGCTAGTACGCACCTACTCATTGCCTCCGATTCGTCGTACTTGCCTTGGCCCAGTAGAACTGTGGTCAGGCTTCCGAGAACCCGTAGTGTGTCGGGGTGATCAGGGCCTAAAATCCTCTCGTACCCGTCTAGTGCCCGCCTACTCATCACCTCCGCTTCGTCGTACTTGCCTTGATGCCGTAGTACTGTAGCCAGGGTTCCAGTAATCCGTAATGTGTCGGGGTTTTTGGTGCCTAAAATCCTCGAATTGCCCTCTAGCACATGTCTGCACATCGTCTCTGATTCGTCATATTTGCCTTGATACTGTAGAACTGTGGCTAGGTTGTTGGCAACCCGTAATGTGTCCGGGTGGTCGGGGCCCAAAGCCTTCTCGTACCCCTCTACTGCCCGTCGATTCATGACGTTGGATTCTTCGAACCTCCCCTGGTCCCGCAATACACTAGCCAGGTTGCCAATGGCCCGCAAAGACTCGGGGTGGTTTTCTGGCAATGACTTTTCCAAATCCTCCAGAACCCTGCGGAAGATCAACTCCGCCTCCTTAGCCCTTCCCTGACGCATAACAATCTCTCCTAAGAGCATAAACCGGGTATATGGTACTCCCTTCCAGCTGGCTTCCTCGTAATTCTCGCGAAGCGCAATGCATCGGCGGAGTTGCATCTCTGCATCATTGTAAGACCGCACTTGCACAAGATACTCCACAATACGATAGGTAAGGTCTTCGGCGACTGGATCGGTCGAGTCCTTGGTTAATACAAGCGCATGGGATAAATATGCCGCACAGGTGCCCCGCAGTTCGTCGTCATATACAGGGAATAAACGTGAAACAGTCTGGAGTGCAGAAGCCCTCCATTGGTTCACCTCTTCCGTTGGCAAATACACCTGTATGGATAATTGAACCAAGGGCGGAACTTCGTAAAATGTTGTGTTCTCACGATCCTCCATGGTAACCAAGCAGAACCCCATTAGTGCCCCAATAGCCTTACGAAGCTCAACAGGGTCATCCATTCCCTTCAGACCAGAATGGGTTAGTAACTGCTGCGGTATGTTTCGAGAATCAAGAAATGAAATTAGCAGCAGCAGTTTCCAGGCTACGGGCATGCCTCGTGAGATTCGGTCAAAGGTGACAAAATACGCGCCCAGAATACCTTCGCTCATATCGGCCTCTCGTTGGACGTCGCAAAACCGATGCGACATTAGTCTCCTGTTGCCCTCACCACCCGCCTGCGCCTGGAGAATAGACCAGTAAGTGGACGGCAGTGTTTCTGTCTCGGCCATGAACGCTGCCGAACCCGCGATAGCCAACGGTAGGTGACCCAGTGAGTCCAGGATCAGTACGATGACCCTTTTCTCTTCCTCTTTCAAATTGCCCCAGTTACCAAACAGCTTTGAAAACAATTCCTGGGCTTCCTCAGCCCCCATTCTGCCCACCTTGATAATTTTGCATCCCTGTCGCATTGCAACCTTTTCGGACCTAGTCGTAAATATCAGAGTCCCTCTACCCACTTGTGGCACAAACTTGGCAATAGGGCTGGTGTTGCCAATAAAGTCGGCGCCGCTGTCAGCGTTGTCGATAACTAGGATCCAGTCACCGCTATCTGGACCTTCAAACCATTGCCTAATCCTAAGTAGATTCGCCTCCTCGTCGTCCTCAGAGCTAGCTGAAGGAATTTGAACCTGCCGTGCAATACCCTTAAAGCCATCACAAAAATTTAATACCCCGCTTCCCTGCACCCAGAAGACATTGCAGTGGTCCTCGTGCGCGCGCTGATAAACATATTCAAGGGCAAGCTGGGTTTTCCTGAGCGAGGTCAGAAAGTCCTTCATATAACGAATCCGTGATTACATACCCACAACCCCCTAATCCATAGAGTGCGACTCGGTTGTGTGCTCTATTTCCGCAAAATCCTTTTATTGACTCCATGATAGTCTTACGGCCAGTAAATCTTGTGTTCCTAGAGTAAGGAACTATACAATAGGGCCTATGGGATGTCCCGGGCCCTAATGGCAAGTTAGAAACACCCTAGAAATTCCCTGAGAAAGGCAATTACCTCTATCTTCAGCACACAGTACTCGCAACTCATCTGCTTCTCCCAAGGGGGTCATATTATGACGCGCTTGCTCGCTTTGGATGGAATAGCTGTCGGTGCAAGTGTTGTAACTATCGGTATTTCCGCTAAATTTTCCGCCCTTATTAGATTGCTCTTGGCTCCCCCAAGCTCATGACCTGCGGGGCAGGAACACGGGGATACCTACACATCCACCACGTCGTTACCGCTTCCAGCTCTCTTGTCCGTACTTGAAATGAGGGCCTCCATGCCGCTTACTGAAATAGTTAAACGCAACCTTATCTCAAGGGCAGACATAAGCTATGAACAGGAGGTATGCTAGAGCAAGGGAGTAACCTTCGGGATCGCAATGTCCGATTCCCGGGCTTCTAGACCATTGAGGGGTAAAGCCGTAACCCGTGTTTCTACGGCGCAGCAAGGCGCAAACTAATGAGTGTGTTCCGATGAAGAAACCAGAATGGGAAGAGGTTTTAGAAAGTGTGAGGGCAGGCGTCTACGGGGGGAGAATGGCACCGAGAGATAAGAGAAGAGCCCTCACAGCCATAGCGAATTTAGGATTTCAAGTCGAGATCAGGCTCGGTAAATGCCCTGTGTAACCGCCCGTATTTGGGTAAATATGAACTCTACAATAACATAGAACACATGAGAGAATCATAATCAGAAGTGCTCCAAAATTAAGAAACTAATTTCTGCAAGCAATGGCGCTAATATGGTGAGGTTGGGAAAACCGACCGTTATTGCTGAGGGCTGAAAATTGGCCAGACCGGCCCAGTTTGCCTGTATTTCAGTGACAGCTTGCATTCTATCCCAGGAGACAGGGAAACCGGTATTGTCAGAGGAGGAAAGAAACTCGGGAGGTATGACAACGAGATTGACAGTGCTGCTTTGTTGTTAGCTGATCCGAACCTCTCCCCATCCATGTGAAATCATGGCACAAATAAGCGGTTTGTGAATGTATGATAATACTGTATTGTGACGGAAAAAAAGAAAAAAAGGTAGGATACGACAGATCAGATGGTGAATCGGCACTGTACCCGAGTGCTAAGACCAGGAAACCCCGATATATCCTATCCATAAAGAGTTGGATCATAGGATACTGGTAGATGGGAACAAGTGAGCGGAGGAGGATTGACCAATAGAGGCATATTGAACTCTAACTTAACCTCTTAGGATATAAGAAATCGTATTTTTTTTTTTTTTTTTTGAAATCTTTAGAATAGGTAGGTACAAGTACGATCCAGGAGCAGGGCTTATTTCATTATATGGAATCCGGGTTATGCATAGAGGCCCGGGGTACTGGCGGGTAAAGCGCATACAAACCATATCCAATGTACCCCACTGCAACTTAGAGAGATTTTGACTCCAGAGATCTCCTACATTTTGGGTCAGTAGGAATAGAGATCCTTGAAGTCGTTCTCATAATGACTTCAAATCTCAAATACAATGTCCTTATCCTGATTTTTGATCTATCTACCTCGAGATCATTTTATCCCTTTTCTTGTATCAGCTGCGAAATATTACTTACTCCCTGCGTGTCCTACACATGAGATGCACAGAATGCAAAAGATGAAAATTGTTTGTCCCCCTGGAGGGTTAATTCAACTTGTCAAACTGAGTTCTTATCAGCTTTCTTTGATGCGCCTTAACAAGGCTCACTCCTTCTATCCTGCGGCCTGATACTACACAGTATGCTGTTTCTTCGTTTCGGCCTGATGTTCCTCAATTCTATTCCATACCTACCGAACCAAACCAGAAGTGGGATCCCACAAAATTTTATGGTAATCCCCCGCCCCCCCTTCACCACGTGTACAAATTCATTCGTCCGGATAGCGAAAGTCATGTCGGGTGCTATGTCGCGTCCGCAGCTACCAGTATGTCGGGACCTTGGGTATTTAGGCAGATCGAGTATATTTGAGTCTAGGCAAAACGTACTATACTTGTATTCATAGACTTCGAGTGCCGCCTTTGCTCAAATCCACCCCACGCGCGTACTCGGGCATGTAAGAAAAAATCGAGCAATGCAGGGATACTAACAAGGAAGCTTGGGGATCATGTAGATCAGATATTGGAAAATACAGGGGAGTCAAGGAAGTTAAAATACCAGAGTAGTTGCATCTTGATTACTGTGAAAGCCGGCCGTTACATTTCTCATTATGATAACAGTTATTGTGATAACGAAAAGACTTCAAAGTACCAAATTCCTGACAACCCAATTTCCTACTTCCAAGAACCAATTTTCCCTCTCCATGTAATGAAACCTTCCAAACTCAGATATAAAAAAGAGAAACAAAAAAAGAAAAAAAAATACATGTAAACAATAATCATTACCACTTAGTATAACTACCTTTGACAGAAATAAGATCATGAATCCGCTCAGGCACAGAAGACGTAAAGTTGGCAATTGTTTCGGCATCAAGATTATTCCATTCCTCGTAGATAGCCTCTTTCAGCTCAGGAACTGTAATAGGATGAGGATTTCGCTTGCTGATATTCTGCTTCATTCTCTTCCAAACCTCCTCAATTGGTGACATGTCGGGAGAGCTGGCGGGCCAGGGGAATAAATATGATCCGATTCTGAGTTTGTTGAGCTTGTCAATAGTATTTTTAGCATGGTGAGTAGCGGCGCCGTCTTGCTGAAAATAGATGTACCCTGAGTTGCTGGCTTGCTGACAGAGCTGTAACCACCAGGGTACAAGAATGGGATGGATGATATGTGGAAGGTAAGTTTGTGACGAAATTTTGCCCCAGTTGTCTGTCTCCCAAATGACAAGCTGTGACTTCTGACTCCCACAGATTGCACTCCAAACCATGATAGTTGTAAGCTTTTTGAACTTTGGAACTAGACAATCTTCATCATACTCTTCACCTGCCTTACGCATAACCCAGATATTACCTGATAATTCCCCACAGTTGAATGCTGCCTTATCTGAAAAAATCACATCCCCAAAATTACTCGCACTCCAATCCCTAAAGTCTGTCGCCCAATTGAGTCTGGTTTCATTTGCCTTTGCGGTAAGGAAAGGCTTGACTCATGCTACATGACGATTGTAGCCCTTACTTCCGAAAATTTGATGCAGTGATAGATCAGATGCCTTAACTCCCGCTAACTTGGCAATTTCGGTAAGTGGAAGGCAACGGTTGTAGGAACTGGCAGTAGCTGTATCGATAAGAACTCGTTTAACAGGTGATGTGAAAACAGGTTTACGACCAGGATGGCTATTTGGATCATGCTTGGCTGGTGCATCGGTTCTATTGATATGATGGTATAGACTACCCATAGGTATGTTGAACTTCTTATGAAGCTGCTGGTATGTCTAACCACATTGTTGACGGAGGTGTCTGATTGAATCGCGGGTTGCAGGAGTCACCATTCGGTATGTTTTTTTGGAGTTTTAGGCTTGTTGTTTTCTTTCTCTTCATCTTGGTTTGGCTTTTTGGAGGTCAGATTAGTTGGATTGTAGAAGTAATTATTTTGATTATAGAACTTATATTTCTTATCGGTGTAGGAGTTCCGTCAAGCTGCCGATTGTGCCATTCAATATAGTCATTAAATGA